AGAAAATAATATGTTTTTGTCAAAGGCACTAGCTTTAATGTTACTGAAATTCCTTCGGGCTCCCCCAAAGTGAGCACTTCAGTCTTCTGCTGTTTATTCTGTGTCAATTCTATTAATAATTACCTGTCTAATTCCCGAGTCCTCTTATTTGCAGATGACATGGAAATTTTTATGATAATAGCTTCTGCCTCTGATTGTTTACTACTGCAGGCAGATCTTGATTCCTTTGTTTGTTGGGCCAACCCGATTAGGTTGCCCTCTCACTTAATTTAAGTAAATGTCATATTATAACATTTACCAGGAAGCATGCTCCTCGTCTTCACTTCTACTCTATAGATAATACCGTGTTAGAGCGTGTATTTTCTGTTACTGACTTCGGTTTCATTTGACTCCCTCGCTATTATTCGACATTCATATCAATATAATAGTTGGTAATGCCTTAAAATTTTAGGATTTTTAAAGCGTCATACTAGCCTTTTCACTTCCCCGCAATGTTTACATTCTCTCTACTTTTCCATCGTTTGCTCCATTTTAGAATACGATATGGTTATGTGGCATTCATACTTAGCTAGCGACCAATTCGGCATTGAAAGAGTACAAAACCGTTTCCTATCTTATGCCTATCTTATACTTGCTTAAAATTGCCCATCCCCGCATGATCACTCCATTATTCGATCCACTCTTATTATCCCTATTCTTACTTCGAGGCAAGTTGAAGCTGACCTGTCTTTTATCAATGCTCCCTTTAATAGTCTAATTGATGCACCAGACCTTGGTCCTCTATATATTTTCGTGTTCCATCCTATCCCACTAAAAATCACTTTCTCTTTCATGTTCCATCTCATAGCTCCTCCTATAATAATAATACTCCTCTACACAGAACGTTTCGCTTCCTTAACAATTCATAGTTTTGGCCACATCTACTTTTTACATAATAATTTCTATTTTAGATATTTAAACTTGATTTTCGGTCGAACACCTTTGGTGTCTCTCTATTTTTCGACTAGCCAGACTGATCTCAGCCATTTTTTCGAAAGGGAATAGCGTGGGCAATCGGAGGACACTCACATAACTTATTAGGACTGAAAAGACGTAGGCCACTTGGAAATAGTTTTCTTGCACAAGGCAATGATGTTGTTTATTAGTTTTATAATTTTTTAAAATTATAAATGCGTTAGTATAAAATATTACGTACAAGGCCAAAGAGTACACCATATAATTATACAAAAAGGGTTAATATAATATACCAAAAGAATGGAAAAAGTATATAAATAGTATTTATCATAAAAAAAATTGTATTAATCCATACATTTTTCAAAAAGTTATAGCATTATAAAGTTAAAAATATAAAAAAGAATTTTTTTACAATATTTTAGCTTCCATGCGAAGCTGAGAAGGTATTGGTTTTACTATGATGTGTTTTTTTTTTTTTTGTGTCTGTTACCACTTTTTCTCAGCTCTCACCGAACGGATTTCTTTCAACGATACGTCAAAAGATCACAAATCGTATCTAGTCAAAGACATTACCCTTCAAAATTGAAAAAATTTCGCTCGTTCCCCGTAAATGGGGGAAACCTCGGAAAAAATTATAAATTAAAAAATGGCTAATTTTCGAAATTTTCAAAATTTTTTTTACTAAAAACTGCCTTAACTTTTTTAAAAATAATCATATCAATATAATTCTTTTTTTTATAGATTTATGATGTCATTACCTATTATTTGGTATATTTTTTTTATAAATCTGACTTTTTACCTGCTCACAAAGGGGGGATTTAAAATGACAACTTTTTTACAAAAAATTAACTTTTTCAACTTAACTTTTAAAAGTGTTTCGGAAGGTCTGACACTTTTATATATATCTTAAATTAAAGCTAATGTAATTTACTTTATTATGCGAAAAAAATAATTCGGACCTTATTTTGTCTTCACGGTGAAAATGGCTACCAAATGCTATTATTGTGTGAAAATTCTCAATTTTATTTTTTACATTTTTAACTTTATGATGCTAAAACTTATTGAAAAGTGTATTGATCAATATAATTTGTTTATGGGAAATACTATTTTTTAATAATCCCTTTTTCATTCGACATACTTTATCTTAATCAGGATATTAATAAGGAACTAGCAGTTTATGAAGCTTTTGGAATAATCCACCAATTTTTTAAAATTAAACACTATCTAAAGATTTGCATCGAACCGTTTTTTTTTGATAGTGATTTTAATCACTGTCAGATATCATTATACTTGATCCAACTATGCCACGTCACCACTGTGCCGCGACCCCCCTGTGCTGGGTTTTTTTTTTATTAATTTTGATGTTTGTTTTCACCATGAAAACAATATAGAGTCCAAAATTTGTTTTTTCATATTAAAGCATATTACATAAGCTTTAATTTAAGGTATATATAAAAGAGTCAGTTTTTCCAGAACATTTTCAAAAATTAAATTAAAAAAGTTTCACTTTCTATATAAATTTTTAAGTTTTAAACCACCCCTGTATAAAGGGAAATGGTTAGATTAAAAAAAAAAAATTGTCGCATAAAAAAAGTATATAATTGTATTTCTCATAAAAAAAATTGTATTAATTCATACATTTTTCAAAAAGTTATAGAAATATAAAGTTAAAAATATAAAATGTAAAATCAAGAATTTTAACATAAAAATACAATACGGTAGCCATTTTCACCGTGAAGACAAAATAAAGTCCAAAACTTTTGCTATTTTTGTGTGAAAATTTTCGATTTTATAATTTACATTTTTTACTTTAAAGTGCTATAACTTTTTAAAAAATGTATGGATCAATACAATTTTTTCATGAGAAGTAGTATTTATATACATCTTTCATTGGATNTAAAAAATGTATGGATCAATACAATTTTTTCATGAGAAGTAGTATTTATATACATCTTTCATTGGATTTACTTTTTTTTTAATCAGACTATTTCCCTATATTTGGGGGGGCTTCAAATATAAAAAATGTATATAGAAAATAGAACTTTTTCAACTTAACTTTTGAAAGTGTTCCGGAAAGTCTGACACTTTTATAAATATCTTAAATTGAAGCTAATGTAATTTACTTTATTGTGCTGGGTTTTTTAAATATTAAGTTGAAAAAGTTAATTTGTTTATAAAAAACCCAGCACAGGGGGGTCGCGGCACAGTGGTGACGTGGCATAGTTGGATCAAGTATAATGATATCTGATAGTG